CCCCCCTCTCTCTCTCCATTGCTTCTCTACCTTTGTCTCGCTTCTGATTACTTGCTGGTTATTCTGGGACTGCATTAAGTGTTTCATGACTTATTCAAGTTATTCTGCATCGGCGCTGGTTTCCATTGCAAGTGCATTCAACTGCGTCGTGACTACTTGCATGATAGTGTCATTGAAGCTTCTCATTATTGTCTGGCTGGCTGATGGCAAACTACCCCCTTTTTTAATAAACAGACGGACAAACTACTCCCTTTTTCAAAGTGGTATTTCGAATGTATAGACAAAATAGTAAATTACTAAAATTACTAAAAATTAGTAAATTACACTAAAAGAAAAATTAGTAACCATGGCTACGATCGGGACGTCCGGAGTGCCGTCCGGAGGGTCTGGATTCAGTCTGGACTCCAGACGCCCTGTCCGGAAGGTCCGGATCCGCCAAATTTCAAGGAAAAAAACAGCAACAAAAAAAAAGGGTCTAGGACCCTTCCCCACTGAGGAACCGAGCCCCCAAAATTGTTTTGGGGGTTTTTCAGGCCCGTGTTTGTTTTTTCGGGGGGTCCGGACATGGTCTATCTCTGTTATAATTTATTAGACATACCCATTTTTTCAATGCTAAGTCTGCGGCCGTATATGCGGTGGCCATTTTTTTTATGTACCCGCCTGACTGCGGCCACTTTGATCCGTACTCGATGAGAAATGTTTCTTCAGGAGATGGGGGAGGTGGGGCGAGATTGGGGGTGGGTGGGAAGGTGGAAAGGTAGGGGGAAGGGGGAAATGAGGGAGGATGGGGTGAAGGGGGAGATGGAGGGAGATGTGTGAAGATGGGGAGATGAGGGGAGATGGGGGGAGATGGGGAGCGATTGTGGCAGGAGGGTAAGTAGGGTAAACATGCAAATAGGAAAGTTAATCCAGGAGGTGAACTCTGTTTTTTTTCTCTGTTTTTCTTCTCTGTTTTTCTTCTCTGTTTTTTTTTCTCTTTTTTTCTCTTTTTACCTTTCTCTTTTTCGGAAGTTTTTCCTTTTCTCACCAACTATATTATTGGCGTTGGAAATGTGCAATCAGACTCGCTTTCAAACACACTTTTCACACATGTAAACAGTACGCAGCACACTGGCGACATGCGCCCACTCAAAACTCAGAGATATGGCTTCAGATA